GCAATCCTGACCCTTTTGTCCTCCATCTTTTTTCTCTGTAATAGAGATGTTATCTAATTTTGCATATCACTTCTTTAAAAAGAGTGGCCAGGGCAAGGAGGTAAAGGTGCTCCCTCCTTCAGAGACCAGAGCACTCATGCAGGGGTAAAAAGTCCCCAAGTGCAGGGCAGGGTGGGCATGGTCACAGCCAGGCATTTCGTGGAAAGAGAATGAAAATTCCCCAGGGACCAATTGTTCTGAACCTGTCCAGCCATCAAGAGGCTGAAATCAAGCTCAGGAAAAAGGTCCTGTCTCCCTCACGTCTCTTCAGGTGGGTCTACTCACCACAGACACCCTTCTTCTCCCTTTACTTCTTAATACCTAGTAGCACCCAAACCACCTCACTCTTGTCCTCTGAGAGACAGAGCTTCCTCATGCCTGCTCTCATGACCCAACCAAATATTTCCACCAGCTTGTTCCAACAGGGAGTTTTTTTTACCCTCTTCAAGGTGTCATCTTTGGTAAACTCTCAAATCGAGGAAAAATGTTTGCAAACTTTTGTTCATCCAAAACACATCCCTCTTAATTCCCTACAACAGCACCAGAAAGAGAAGTGGTTTAGAACACAAAGCTGGCTACAAGCAAATGTGCCACCATGAGATCCTCAGATAGAACTTAAGTAAAATCTTAATATCACTGCACATGCAAATTACAGGAAAATACCATGAGATTGATTCCTGGCTACCATAAGGTTCAGGAATCTGGCTGTCTCTATCAGAGCTGAGCTCTTAAACCAGCCCTTGGGATCACAGAACAGAGCTCAGCAGACTCAAACAGATGTAAGACTAGAACTATACCACAGACAATAAGCTGCCTGCTACACAGATGAAACAAAGAAAAAGGAGAAAGTTGAGGTTCAGTGTAATTATACAGGATTTATCGGGTTCATCCACAAGTATACTGGGGTTGGATCACCAGCTGTACTGATTGACACTGTTCACTGAAGATAAAAGCACTGTACTGGTCTACAGCACTGGAATACATGGCTCTGCTGAACACTGGTTGACACATCACTTGCACTGACATTGTCTTTAGTGCTGTGGTGAAGAATGGCTCAGCAACTGCATCTGTGCAGTCACTCAGCACCCACCCCTGCAGCTTTACATCTCTCTGCAGAGATACTGTTTTAGCACTGAATTTTTACTTCTGATAAATCACCTAATTCCTCTCTTAACAGTCAATTATAATTGACTATTAAACCACACTGTATCTCAGGAAAGTGTGAATAACTAGGAAAAAGAAAAAGTTGCTACTCTAATTAAAGAAAGAGCTCCACACACCTCTACAAACCAGCTGGCTTTTACTTACAGGACGAGCAAGAAAAATGAGTTTATCTGCTTTAGTATTGGAGTGTATTTTTTCACTTGTTTCATCTATAGAATTATCTCATTGACTTTTTCTTGGCCTGTAAAGGCCAAACACGAATGATGCGGTGGATTGTAGCAGAGGCACTTCTTCATGTCAGTCAGATTAGAGCTAAATCCCTGTTGCGTTTCGGAAGGAATTTGATACTGTGCACCTTAGGGAAAAGGCTGTGTGATTTCCAGCTTCCAGTTTTGATGCAGCAATCTGAGTTTCTTGCCACACTTGCCTTAACATTGGGCATTAAGATTGAAAGGAAAACCATAGGCTGACGAGTACATCTTTCATTTGCATACCTCCAATTGCTGTGATGGGGAGAGAGTTGATGCCTTCTTCCTCCCCCTACACCCCCAGTGTCTGAAAAAAGATAACAGGACAAACACTGTATTATTTTTAAGAGAAGATGTCAAGATGAAAAAATGAAAACGTCAAAAAAGGGGCTGATATACGGCATTACTTAAAGACTGTTTTGTTGAGAAAAACTGACCAAATGATTTACGAAAGGCTTTTAACAGGGCAGTCTTTGGATTACAGTGAAGATGAAAAATAAATGAAAATCTATTTCAAGTTTACTTTAGCCTAGTCATTTGACAGATGAGGGCAAAACCTGGCAAGAACACAAGTTTTAATCTTCAGATGTAGTGACTTTATTTGCAGTTTTGCCGATTAGAAGTTTTCTCTGTGCAAAGTAAGAGCTTTTCAGAATATTTTCAGATGTTTTCTGTTGAAAGTACCTTTTCTTTTTAATGTGAAGATCCCGTGAAATGCACACAAGTGAAAAGACCAAAGATGCTTCTGCTCATGGCACAAAGCACATACAGAAATTGTCCCAACCGTGCTGCCACTGGTGTGTCCACCACCTTCTTCCCTTCCCAATTCTCCTTTCAAGCTTCACTCTTGAAACTCATCCCTCCTAATTAATTACTGGATTAACCAGCCTAGTATCAAGATGCTCACGGCTGGAGGTGGATCTTGGAGCATGGACTTGTTCTCAGTATGCCCAGCCTGGCACATTTCTGCCTGGCCAGATGGGTCCACCATCTGCTCCTATTTGGAGGAAAACTTCCTGGAATTAGGGTTTTCCACTTAACCTTTGTACAAGTCCTTTGTTTCCTCTTTTCATTTTTTTTTTTATTGCCTTTTCACCAAAATCACCTGAAACACATCAGAGTCAGATTTAAAAGCCAAAGGGGCAGCTCCTCACAGCTTTGGTGCACACCTGGTGTTAAATGAGCACTGCTCTGCACAAAGGCCACTGAACTGGAGCATCAGCACAGCAAAGGGCTACTTTGGGGGAAAGCAGGAATACAGCAGAAATTATTTCTAGAGTATAGACTACAGAGAGTGTAGCAAAATCAAACCAAACTCCAGGAGTCAAAGGTAGCCTTCTGCTGTTTGCTCATGCTATTTAGGGCATGCTATATTATTTTTCAGTATAGAATTTATAGATCAAGAGAAGCAGTTGATCTCTTTGAGACACGTTAAAAAAAAAATCAAGATGGAAAAATGAAGAGCTGATATCTAATTCTATGAAAATCTGCCACAGTTCTATATTTATTATAAGCCTATCCCAGTACATCCTGCTCAAAGTCTTACAGAAAATGTGTTGCTAACTACCAGGGAATCATTGATTTTTTTTAATTTGTTCCCCTCACAGTGTTATTGCTTAGCTGTGGTAGAAGCCATAACTTGGAGAGGGGGGTGAAAATAAAAAAAAAAAATCAATATTACTATTATCAACTGTTGACTACAGTTTACAGCAGCAATAATCTTTAAAACAGCTTACAGAGTCACCAGTTGTCATCTACATAAAGTATTACTGTTTTGGTCAAATCATTAAATGATATTATTTGATGATTTGGTCATTTTGATTTGGTTGAATTAAGTTTTGGTTACCATCAGTATTGTCTGAACTTCAGATCTAAATTATGTTTGGCTGAGAGCTGCAGTGTTTGCTGTTGGCATTATCTTTTCATTGCTGCTAAGAGTGATTCATTTCCTCATTAAGAGCAACTAATTTTTAACATCCTGTGCTCATTCTCACATTGTATTAGTTCAGTATTTAGATGTGCTCCCAGTCACTAAGGCCTGTCCTTCCTCCAGTAACGCCTTGGGTTACGAGATCATTTGTCATTGGTTTTACACACACACACACACACACACACAGCCCTTCTTCCCAGGGAGGTAGTTCCTGCAGTGATGCTTTCTCTTAATACAGTTTTCTGAGTGGTTTTTTTTCAGATGCTGGAGTGTGAAAGCACAGTTCTAAGATGCTTCCTAGTTCTTTAGGATGGTCTTCAGCACAACTGCATCTCCAGAGCACAAAGCAGCTCTGCTCAAACAGAGTAAAGCTTTACTGTGCCAGAACAGAAATGTTCTTATTTATCTAATTACTTGCAAATGCAGATGTTACCATTCAGAGCTTCAGGCCTTCTTTCGTGTGCCTTGGAGGAAGAGTTAATTTGATTCACCAGGCTACAGCATCTTGGAGATACTTATAGGTTTTAATGTATTTTAAAAGCCCCTTCTGAAGTCCTCTTTCATACAGTCCATGAGTGCTGGACACATAGAGAAAAGACAGTATTTGGACCTCTAAAATGCACCAGTTTTTTCCATAAATGGGAATTTATAGCTGAATGTGTTTACATATATATTCATGCCATAGTTTCAAGATGATGAATAAACTTTAATAAATGATCTGGCTAGAAAAAGGATTAGTTCTGTAGTTATTAATATACTGAAATCATAAAGGCAATAGTTTGTTATGCTAACATGATATTCAAAACTCCCAGTGAGGAAACAAAAGCCAGTTTGCAAGTTTTCATTGTAATAGAATATAGTGTTAATCTCTTTGTTGATGTTCTAAGCTAAATACCTTATAAAACATGTATGTAGTGATAAATACTAAACTTTGCATCCTAGAACAAGGCCTGTGTAGCTTTTTTCCATGCACTGAAGTGCTGCCGACCAGAGAAACCAGTCACTTGCTGGAGATCTCACAGGTGGAACTAATTAGATGTAGGAGCTGTCACTCCTGCCTTCCCCTTGCCCCCCTCAGAAGGCCACCCTGCCTGCCAATCTAGCTGCTGAGCTTCTGCTATTTTTGTCCTTCCATCTTTTTCTGACATTGACTTAAAACCTGTAACTTGTTACACCTGTAACTGCATCTGTTAAAGTTAAGGTCCAAGAAACATGTCAAGGTCCACCCACATAGAACCTATCCCTTGTACAGAAATCTTCCAAGTTCATGTTAAATACATTCTAGATGCACAGTTTCTCCAGGTAGATGGATCAGACACCTGACACTCATGTGAGCAGAGGAAGGGCTTAACTCGAAGTTGTACTCTAGCAGTTTTGCTTATGTTATGATCATCAAAACCCTAATAAAATTGCATTTATGATACACCTAAATAAAAATTTTATTAATGTTTGTCTGTATATCACAGCTGTCGAGAGAGAGTCCATATCACATTTGAGATATAATGTTGAGTTGTATAGAATAAGTGCATACGGTATGTCTTAAAACTGTGACTATTAGTATCATCTAATGATTTAAGTAATAAAAATTTAAACACATCCATCTCTCTTATCTTTTAAAGGAGCATTATTCCAAACCCAACTTCTCTCCAGAATCACCTGCACCAAGCTGCTTGATTTTGGTGCTTACGGAGATATTCTGGAGCTGCAAGGCACTGCTCATGGCTCTCTAATGGATTCTCTACATCCCTTTCATTCCAGCTCTCAGTAGTAAGGATATCATCTTATATCCAGGCTTTTCCAAAATCAGTGGGAGTTTTGTGTTGGCTTTGTGTACATGATCTCATGTGCAGCAGAGTTCCAATCCTCCTGGTTGTCACAACATGAATAATCCCAATTACATCCCTGGTCGTGGTTAGGCAAATGCATGTAGGAACACTCACTGGTTCTTGGGCACAGGGGTGAGCCCTGATCAGCAACCAGGGCTGTGCTGGGGTAAAAGCTACATGCACAAAGGCATCTTTCACTCTCTGGTTTCCCTGTAACCCTGGGCAGAAGCTCAGATGTGCTCCAAATACATGATGGGGAGGGGGGGTGGGGAAAGAGAGAGAAGAAAAAAATAATCAGGATCTCAGGGTACACTGTGTTACGCTGCAAAATTTAGCCTGTGTGCAGCTGATGAGATTGCTGGTGTGATCGGGAACTGCTGGCAGGAGGAAAGCCTGCAGGAGGAAGCTCCGCTTGTGTGCTTGCACTGATGCTGCCAAAAACTTAAACTTTCACTATACAACAGAAGTTTTTAACCACTGAAAGAAATGCATGAGGAAATGCCATGGTGCCATGGTAACTTGCTATGTATCACCATTACTACTAATATTGGACACTTACAAGGACTGTTCAGCTGAAGACCACAAGGTATATCACAAAATATTTCACAAATCATTAGGTAACTAATGGCAGAGCAGCCACTGTGAATTAGGCAAGAGATTGAAAGGGTCACTTTGCTCATCCTTTGAGATGGATGCTTATGGTACAGGTCTGAAGCTGTTAAAATAGCAGCGAAACAGTTAGTACAGGGGGTAGAAGAAGACATTATCCAAGCGGACAAGCAGAGTTGCAGAGAGGATCTGGGAAGATAAACTTCAATTTTCTGTGCAGGACTTCTGCCAAAGACACCAAGACAAGCCCTTTTCCTTCAGCAGAACACACGTTGAGATTATGTCAAAGCAATCTCCACCAGCTTTCACTCCTTAGTACAGGCAGAAGAAATCAGCTCTCCAAGTAAGGAAACCCTTTTGTCTAAATTTCATAAGAAATGCAATTTCAGATACACCTGGAATATTTCACTTGGGTGTAAAACCCTCAGAGAGAAATTGTCATCATCAGGTGAGGTTCACTGCTCAGCCAGATGTTTCAGACAGGTGAGGAACCCTTTCCAGGATATTTTCAAACCCCCAGATTCACCAGTATCCCAGCAGGTGAAATGATAGAAGGGGAATTTTTTGGGATGTTGGGGAGGAAGGAAGGGTTTCCCCTACAAGTCAGGTTGAAGATTTTTAAAATAATAATGGTAATAAGTTTGTTTCAAAATACATATTCAAAAACTGAGCTTTCTTAAGAAGTAATACAAATAAATGGCCATATTTGAGAAGATAGTATAAACCAAGAAGGAGTTTATAAATATGATTTCAAAAATAAATACAAAATTGTGATTGGTGTCACTGCAGATAAGCAATCAGTAAGTTTACTATATCGGCAGGCAAGAGGGAATGCTGTCAGACTTTTTTCCCCACACTGAGTAGCTTTCAGGAAACTAGATGATTTTAAATGAGATTATGTATTTTGCAAAGGAGAGGAACATTCTGACAGACTGACTCCAGAGTGGTTCCAAAAGCAGTGACTATAGCAGTGTTCAGAGTTTAGCCTAGTTTAACATAGTGTTATAGCAACTGTGCAGAACTGCTTCTGCAGATTGTGTTAAACTAAGCTTAGCACTACTTCTGTCATCTCTCTGGAGTCACTGGTCTTAAACTCCACTCATGATGCAGAATGTACTCTGCTCATTACAGACAGCCCATGGCATACAGATATGCAGTTGCACTCTCTGGAAATACAAACTTGGGCTTTTTTAGCATAAGCCATCATTTATTTATGTTTGGGGTTTTTTAAAAAGAGCATGGTCATCTATTCCTTTTTCTGTTTTTAAGTATCTCTTGCCTTCCTGCCCCCTCATATGATTTTTAAGTTATTGCATAGTGCATGAGAAACACCTAGAGCAGTGTTTGGGTATGTGAACAGGAGTGGCTTTGGTTGAGAGCAGCTCAGCTTGGCACAAGCAGCATGGATAATCACATTTAACTCAGTCTACCTATCAAGCTGAGATCCCCTGAGATTTTGTCTCTGAAGACACGCCAGACCGAATTCCTCGGTTCAGAGAAAGTCGTAGGTTAGAGCAGGGTCAGCTGTAATTTAAGCATCTCTCAAGTTCCTCTGTGTGCAATTTTCACTCACACAGCCCAGTATCAGGAGAATACGCATAGGAAGGAGTCTAAATGCAAGGACGTCTGAATTAATGTAAGGAGTCTGATATCTGCATCTCTTCTGAATTTTGTCAGCTGCACAGCAGTTCCTCTGGGATGGCACTGTGATAGGATGCCACCATGTAGAGTGCAGCCTAAGGCCATTTGGCATTGTAAAGCAATCCCAGAAACACCACTGTGGGGTCGCAGCATCTGCAAACGATGAATTCCAAAGTGCTGCAACCACTTTCACTGAAGTGTCAGTTAGTAAATATATTTCTCCTCTTTTGGTATCTCTGATGTTAGAAGACTGCTCTTGACAAGCACGGTAAAGATTTAAACCTCAGCAGGGAGAAAATCTATTTGAGTTGAAAGACCATCTTGGCCTTTGAATAAATGGGCATCAAATGTGTGGTATATAAATTTAGTCTGGAAGTTACCAGGAAGTTTTAGGCATTAGAAGGCATTTAGCCTTAGGATCAGTCCACAACAGCAGCAACTGGAAGCATCCTGGCAAAGGACTAGAGTTCTAGAAAAGGAACTTGCACCCAAGGGTGAGCCTAAAAGCTCCTGGAGAAAGTTACCAGAGCATACACATTCAGGTCCCCAAGCCCACGGGCTCTGGTCCCACAGCTGCCTGTTATGCAGCTGCAGGAAAAGGTCTAACCAGATGAGCAATAAGGCATGAAAGCAATTTTTCTTCTTTACTCCATCAGTGCAGGCTATTGCTGACACTGAATAGCCTTGAACCAGTAGTAAAGAGAAAATGTGTAACTTACAGAAAAACACCTATTTCCTTTGAAACTGGAGGTTTAGACCTGCTGCACTAAAGGTGTTTTGTCCCTTTTTCTCATTAAACTGTATAGCTCTCATCTCTCTGCTAATGAAAATGCTGTGCTGATTTAACAGTGTCACTGCGTTCTGTGAAAAGCTTAAGATAGCTCTTTTATCACCAGCTAGAACACCAGTGACTTGAAATTAGTTGTATATATGGAGGGAAAAATAGACTGTCCTTCTGCCAGAACAAACAACTCATCTTCATCTGACTGCATAGAGTAGGGGTAAGCAATCCGTAAGGAGGAAGAAGTTTTAGGATCTTAATAGGATGGCTGACTCAGCTTTTTGACATTCCTATTAAAAAAAAAATAAATAATAATCTAGAAAATCCTGTCAGCTGAAAAGCAAACTAGGTCTGCAAGAAGTAAACATCAGCCCTCCGTAAGAGTTCAGGTCTGTGTCCCCTTTTAGTCAGGCTTGAAAAGGTAGTGTGACAAAGCAAGGTGAATTATTTGAGCTAGTTTGTACGTCTGGGTTTGTTTTATGAAGCGTACAGTTGTCTTAAGGAAAGATGTGTAAATCCTTGGGGTTGGGGATACCAGCTGCCTTCCTTTGCCCACACCTGCCTCCGTGCTACCTTCCTCTGCATCCTGCCTGAGTATCCTTGTGGGAGAGCAGGAAAGTTTATCTTCTGTCTCTATCCTAATTGTTTCAGTTTTTCTAAACTGAAAAAAAATCCAATTTGACCAAAAGGAAAAAAGAAAACCCTGTTGTCATAGCAACAGAAACCCTCCACCCCACCTGCAAAAACAGACATCCCTCGGGGCCTCAGTGCTCACCAACAGGGAGAGGGAGCACTCCCACAGCTGGGCAGGGTTAATTTTACACTATTATTTCAGGAGCTGCCAGGGTCAGAGCCCACTGACCCCTCAGGAGTGAGGGCTGCAAAGCAGTGATTCTTACACCCAGTGCCCAGTGGACACATGGCCCAGAACTAGGAATGAAACAGGATTTGGTTTTCCCTCACACATGGAAGGGATGCAAGAGCTTCTGCTGGTGATCTCCATCCTCCACACAGGAGCACTTCACAAACTGGATCTAAGAGAGCAGCTCTGAAGCGTGCTGGGATCAGTCAAAGCCCAAAGGAAAGCCCACATGGCCTGTTATTAATTTTGACACCAATATACAATGTTAGTCCGTGTCTAAAATTTGCCAGTATCTCAGTGCCACACACTTTATCACCTGAGACTGTCCAAGTGTCAAACAGCAGCTTACTGTCACATCAGATGCAAGAGGCAGCCTTCAGTGCTAGTTTTTCCACACCCCCTGCCAGAAGTAAATCCAAACATTGGCAGCACAAGGTCTGTCCCAAACTCAGGCAGCATGAGGTAGAACAGGAAACAGGAGAGCAGAGCAAATCCAGAACAAACACGGACCATGTACCTCTGAATGTTTCATTACACGTTTGTTACCAGCAGTTCACCCCACCCATCCCATCCCTTCTCCAAACAGCTCCACTCTGAAGACAACATTGGCACAGGGTCCTCCCACTCCTCCTGGGATTTGTACAGCACACCCAGCCTGTTTTCTACCAGGTCATGGAGAGCCCAAGGTCTTGCTGGACTTAGTGACCTGTTTTCTTGAGCATCCCCTGTCGTTTTAAAAGCCTTGTCGTTTCCCTGTGCATCGCTCAGCTCACGTTTGGAAGGCAATTTCTGTGTCCTTATGTGGCACTTGCCATTAAATGAGGAACATTTGTTATCACAGCAGAGCAATTTCAATATCACGAAGAAAGTTGTTACTCGCACACAACCATGGGACAGATAATAATAAATACAATAAATGTATTCTAAATACAAGGGCCATTTTCCTTGCAGGAAACTTATTTCTGCTTTCTAGCAATGGGCTCACGACCC